AGGACTGGGGCCTGGTTTCTCCTGGAGTCAAATGGGAGAGGAAACTGTTCACTGAGAAATGTGTCAGCCGGAAGATCGTCAGGGAGCGCCAGGGGTTACCAGCAGGTGGGAGGGGGAAGGGGCAAGCAGGACCCTCCCTGGAGCCTTCAGAGCCATGAGGCCCTGCTGGCTCCAACACTCGGAGAAGGGACACTTCTGAGTTTGGAGCCACCAAGTCTGTGACCATTTGCTTGGCTTTCCTGGTGAACAAACACCAAGAATGTCCCTGGGATTCAGGAAAAGCCTTGGCTGCTGTCTCCTTAGCTATTAACTCAGCCTCGCTGTCTCCCTCCTTCGCCGCAGCGCCTCTGATCAGACGTGTGCTGGCTTTCTGAGTCCACGGCATCCCTTACTCTTGCCTCGCTTGTCCTCCTTTGTCCCCTCGTGCTGCCCCAGTACTTTCTCCATGAAGGTCAAACATTCTGTCTTCAGCTGGGTCTAATTTGCCATGAGAGCCATCCATGGAGGCTCCAGTTTTGTATTTTTATTTCTAGGGTTCTGTTTTTTTCCCCACGCTTGCCCTGACCTTGACACTTCCCTCTCCTGCACACATGGGAAAGGGTCAAGGTCGTCCCATGGCTCTCAGCAGTGTGAGCAGGAGGCTTGACCCCCTCCATCTCATTGCTTCAGCACCACAAGTCTCTGCCAATGAGGGTCTGCTGACCCTTGCGTGGACTGGTGTTTGCTCATGGGGGCTGCTTTCCAGGCCTGTCGGTGGGCTCATCCGTGTATTTTCAAGACCACCTGCAGAAAGTGTGGGAGAGAATTTGATTATTGACTTCTGGCCAAGATGGAGGTATAGGCAAAAACACTGTGCCCCCTTGTACAACCAAAATTAAGGACAACAAAGATTTAGAAACAAAAACACAACCAGAACAGACAGAAAATTGAACTGTACCAAAATCTGACAACCATTCAACCAGACTGGTAAGAGGGGCGGAGTCGGTGACTGGTGGAGAGGGGTCATGGCAGGAAAAGACTGTGGCTGGCAGACCCGGGAGCACAGTCATACATTCATGCACAGATAAACTAGGCAAAAATGGGCAGTGAGACAGACCACGCCACTCAGGGCCCCAGTGATGGGAAATAAAGCCTAAAAGCACCAATTGAAAAGGCACTGGGAGAGACTCCCAGCCTCACAGGAGAGTTCGTTGGGGAGACCCACAGGGTCCTGGAGGGTGCACAGGCCCACACACCCGGGGCTGGCACCAGGGGAGCCAGGTTTCTTGCAGGAGGAAGCAGAGGGAACTGAAATTCTAGAAAGAGCAGAACAAACGCCATTGCCCCTCTCTGACCCTGCCTGCACAAACAGTGTCACAACCCAGTGACTGGGTCGTTCCACCCTGGTGAACACCTACGGCTCCACCCCTCATATGTAACAGATGCAAACAGACCAAAACATTATGGCTCAAGAACAGCTCAAAGCCCCAGAGCCAACAAATCTAAGTGATCAAGAGATAGCCAACTTATCAGATGCACGGTTCAAAACACTGGTGATCAGGGTGCTCACAGAACTGGTTGATTTTAGTCACAAATTAGATGAACAAATGAAGGCAACACTAAGTGAAATGAAGGAAAATGCACAGGGAACCAACAGTGATGGGGAGAAAACTGGGACTCAGATCAATGGAGTGGACCAGAAGGAAGAAAGAAACAACCAAACAGAAAATAATGAAGAAACAGGAATTCAACAAAATGAGGAGAGGCTTAGGAACCTCCAGGACATCTTTAAACATTCCAACATCCGGATTATAGGGGTACCAGAAGGGAAAGAGGAAGAGCAACAAGTGAAAAACTTATTTGAATAAATAATAAAGGAAAACTTCTCCAATCTGGCAAAGGAAATAGACTTCCAAGAAGTCTAGGAAGCTCAGAGAGTCCCAAAGAAGTTGGACCCAAGGAGCAACACACCAAGGCACATCATAATTGCATTACCCAAGATTAAAATGGAGAGAATCCTAGAAGCAGCAAGAGAAAAGGAGACAGTTATCTACAAAGGAGTTCCCATCAGACTGTCAACTGATTTCTCAGAAGAGACCTTCCAGGCAAGAAGGGGCTGGAAAGAGGTATTCTAAGTCATGAAATGCAAGGACCTACATCCAAGATTGCTCTATCCAGCAAAGCTTTCATTTAGAATGGAAGGGCAGATAAAGCACTTCTCAGACAAGGTCAAGTTCAAGGAGTTCATCATCACCAAGCCCTTATTATATGAAATGTTAAAGGGACTTATCTAAGAAAAAGAAGATAAAAAATATGAACAGTGAAAAGACAGCAAACTCACAATTATTAACAACCACACCTAAAATAAAAGCAAGCTAAGCAGACACCTAAAACAGGAGTGGAGTCACAGAAATGGAGATCACATGGAGAATTAGCAACAGGGGAGTGGGAGGAGGAGAGAGAGGGAGAAGGTACAGAGAATAAGTAGCATAGATGGTGGGGAGAAAATAAACAGGGCGAGGGCAAGAGTAGTGTGGGAAATGTAGAAGCTAAAGAACTATGACACATGGACATGAACTAAAGAGGGGGAATGTGGAGGACAGGGTGTGCAGGGTGGAGGGGAATGAAGGGGGAAATGGGACAACTGTAATGGCATAATCAATAAAATATATTAGAAAAAAAGAAAGTGTGGGAGATGCAGGATGGAAGCGGCTCCCTCAGAGAGGGTTGGGTGCTGGGGGCCCCCACAGGCCTCAGACCACCCTGTACCAGTTAGATCGTGAAATGAACTGGGTTCACCCAATGACCCAGGCCTGGGCTCAGATGCCCTAGTGTCTGTCCCCTAAGGCCCACCACCACTCTCAGGGGAGTTCTTAGGGGTTCCACCTTAGTGGGGGGTCCCCGGTGAGCTCCCCACCTGGCGTGAGCTTGGCCTCTGACTTCTGTCCTGTCCCCATGAGACCCAGATCAGCCTCTGGCTGAGAGCAGCCTCAGAGTGCTGGTGGCCCCTGTGGGCTCCACTCTTTTGTCCACTGCGGACGGCCACCCCTGTCCATCTGCTGCTCTTTGCCACTTCTAAGGAGAGTGGCTGACACAATTCACCAGCTTTTCTAAGGTTCTGAGCTAATAACCAGATCCACATGAGACATATTCGCAGGAGAAAGAGACCAAATCTGTGACATGTGTGCACACGGGGGTTCCATGTGAACACGGGACCCAAGGACTGGTGTTGGGCTGTCGAGGATCACACTCCTTCCCGAGCTGAGGGGGGTTGTGTAGTTTGTGACCTAAAAGTGCAGGAAGGGGGTTCGCCTGGAGAGAGAAGAGCGTGTGTTTGGGGGACAGTTTTTTGCTGGGGGTCTTCCACCCGGGGACACAGACAGGGCTTGGCCCACAGGGGCCTTGCCGGCTCCTCCCTGTCTGCCACACCTGGTTCCCGTCCGACCTGAGTCACCTGTGAGGACGGCTCCTTTCTGGAGCAGGTCTAAATATATTTAGGCAGTGACAGGAAAGGGAAAGCTCTTTCCTGAGTTTTCTGTTTCTTAAAAATAACCAACTTAAGCCCTGGCTGGTGTAGCTCAGCGGATTGAACACGGGCCTGAGAACCAAAAGATCGCGGTTCCATTCCCCATCAGGACACATGCCTGGGTTGCAGGCCAGCTTCCAGCAGGGGATGCACCAGAAGCAACCATACCTTGATATTTCTCTCTTTCTCTCCTTCCCTTCCCTTCTAAAGATAAAAAAGAATTATGAAAAAAAAAATAACCAACTTAAGATAGTCAATACCCCAGGGAGGTGCATTTTGGGGTGTCAAGCATCTGCTCCCCCTTCTTGTCCTGACTGCTCCCCCAGGGTTTCCGGTGCAGGTGACAGGCAGCCTGGCACAGGGGGCCACAGGCAGCTGCAGGGCCCAGCACCCAGGCTCGGGCATCTTGGACTCTGAAAACACAGAAGCGAGTACTCATCGTGGTCATGATGAAACACCTGCAACAGGAGGAAGCTCGCAGCAATCGGTCATCGCCAGAAAAGTTGCCCCTCTCGGGCAGGTGCCTGCAGGAACCCTGTGGCCACTCTGGGGAGTCACTGGAGGTGTCAGGGTGTGGGGAGCCCAGCTGGCATCAAGAGTCAGGTCTGAGCCTGCCAAGGACATGGGAACTGGGGACATGGGAGCCAGGAGCAGGCGGACACCATTTGACCAAGAGCTGTGCCCCCTCCCGGGCAGGCGTGGAGTCGCAGGCCTCAGAGCAGAAAGGGCTCAGGCCACAAGTTACTCAAGGCCACCACACCCAGGGCAGCAGAGCCAGAAGCTTTCAGCTCAGAAAGACCCCCCCATTGGGACCCATGGAGCTGAGGAGCCCCCGGAGGTCACCTCCGGTGTCAGGTTCCTGCTGTGTCCCCATCGAGTTCTGTGCGAGCCCTCCTGGGCTTGTCATGGCCCAGGACGCACTCTGATTGGGCTGCTCACCAGGACAGTGCACCCGTGTGCTCTGCTAAGTCCCAGTTCCTACCCACAGGGCCCTGGTGACACCAGGTCGCCTGGAGATGCAGGACGGGTGAGCTCACCCCCAGAACATGGGTTGTTCTTGCTGGAGGCTGATGGGATACCTGGTCCCAGGACAGGGCTGCACTTGTGTCCTTGAGTGAGGCCCCAAGCTCTAGAGTTCCAGGAGCACAGTCTGGTGTCCCTGTCCCCAGACCTGTGAAACCCCTGACCCTAGGCACATGTGTGGGATGCCTTTCTACATGTAGTGCCTCGGGAGCAAGGAGTGGGCACCTCCTGTCCGAGACAACATTAAAACTGCTTTGTGCCACTGCCTCCTGAAACGAGAACACCTCCATCTTGGCTGTGTCATCTGCTGGGGAGCAGTGAGGGAGGGGCCAGATTTGGGGTTCACTCACGTGAGGGTGCACCCAGCTTTGCCCACAGTGCCTGCCACCTGTATTTATGGAGTAAGTGCATTCCCGCTATTTTGGGGAGGGCGCACCCAAACACACCAAAGCCATGACACACACACCGTGGCTACAATTTCCGAGTGCTTTATTTGTGGCACGAAAAGACACGCTGTAGAGACCGTGTGGTGTGGGAGCCATTGGCGGTGCTCCCGCCACCAGGGAGGGTGAGTGACGTTCATCGGGTACCGCAGAGCCCAGTGCCCACGCTGCCAAAACAGACCTGGGAGGTTCCTTGCGTCACACCATACCAGCGGCCTCAACCTCGTCCTCGCTGGGAGGGAGGCTTCATCCCAGGGGCTGCTCTCCATCTCTCCTGGTCTCTTATGGAGTTCGCTCTGGGGGGAGCTGTGAAAAACCACCGTGGCTGCTTCCTCGTAAATACTGGTGACTGAGGGCCGGCCCGACGGGGAGACTGCCGCACGGTATGAGGGGCACACTGGCCCGCTGGGCAGAAGTCTCAGGACTTTTCCTTTTCTTCTCAAATCAAGAAATCTTAGCCAATCTTGGGCCGGTGACACCCAGCATCCCGGGTCCTGGCCCTGTGGGGGATGGGGAGGGTCCTGCAGCTTCATAGCCCCCCCCCACCCGAAACTGCTGTCAGGTGGGGCACCGACTGCCCCCTGCAGTGCCCTGCGGGTCTCAGCTGCGTTGCCTTTCCGGAGCTCTGAACGCCCCCCACCCCCACTGCCTGCACCCTCCCCCATCTGCATGCGCCTTGTGTCACTGCGGGCGATCACCGCTGGCTTTCCGAGCCTCAGCTGGTCCGATCCCCTTGGCTGGTCTGTGGCCCTCCGAGGCTTCCAGCCGAGACCCTTCGGGAATAAGACACAGGGCTGCCTGACGCCTTGGCGCACGGCCCGCCGCCTTCAGCTGAGATCCTTTCATCCCCGTCTTTCCCCCTGGAGTGCGAGCGAGTGAGTGAGGGTGTGCGAGCAACTGGGCGGGCTGACCCTGTGGTGTGCGGTCAAAGTCTCAGTGGCCCCCTCCGGCCTGAGGCCTGGTCATCTGCCCACGGCCCTTCGAGGTTGCTAGTGTCCTGTTGGGCTCCAGTGTCAACTCCCCGTCTCTGTACTCCCAGCAGCCTGCCAACAAGAACCGTTTATTGGCAACTTTAAATACTCAAAGGCAGGATAAAACGTTTCCTTGGCACACAAGCCACAAGCCCCGGGCATCGAGCGCCCCTCCCTCTGAGCCGTGACTGGGACGGGAAACCAACAGCACAGGTTTTGGCCGCAGGCGGGAGTCACGCCACATCCTGGTGCCCAGGCCACGTGGCGTCGTGGAGGCAGGGCGGTGGGCACCTGGCAGGGGCGTTTCTGCCACAGTCCGGTCCTCCTGGTGGTTCACACGAGCAAGGGCACCTGTGGGGAAGAGGCAGCCCTGGTTACTCAGGGTCCATCGGGAAGCCGTGGGCCCAGGATCTGGGTGCTGAGGGGCACACCATATGCAGTCATTGATTTTAGAGAGAGGAAAGGGAGAGGGAGGGAGAGAAAGAGAGACACTGATGTGAGACAGAAACATCAGTCAGGTGCCTTCTGTAGGTACCATGACTGGGGATCAAACCCACAACCCAGGTACGTGCTCTGACCGAGAATCGAACCTGCAGCCTGCTGGTGTGCGGGGTGACGATCCAAAACCTGAGCCACCGGGCCAGGCCAGAACGCCGACTCTCTGCAGTGGTCCCTACCCCTCACAGGGCCAAGGAGAAAACGCAGAAACAAACCCACTCGCCTGCTCCCAGTGCCCGGCCGAGGCATCCAGAGAGAAACATGGGCACCCAGAGGTGCCGTGTGAGACGGGGCTCATTTGGGTGGAGCAGTGATCAGGGGTGAAAGGACCTGGTATCCCACGTCACACTCATGCTGGTCGCCCAGGCCTGGCTCTCGGCCGCAGGGCACCTTGGAAAGTGTTCCAGCATCAGAACCTCAGACGGGCTGCTTCGGTCTTCACCTGCCAGGCCTCTGCATCCAGGACGGTGGAGGCAGGTCGGGCACTCTGACCAATCCAAGGAGCAGTGAGAACGTGGGCTTCTGAGTGCCACTGGGAGTGGTCAGACCCAAGTTGAGGTGCTGGGGAGCAATGCCCTGCCTTGGCCGCTGGCGGTGGCCGTGAGGGCCACCCCCCCCCACCCAGGTGTCCTGCCACCTGCCCGGTGTCCAGACCCATATGTCCCCTCCTGCTCCATCGCTGGGTGCCCAGCCAGCGCTTCTCTGGCCACTGTCCTTGCATTTCTCCTGGCTTCCTTCCCCAGAGCACAAACAACATTCTCCATTCTGGTCGACAACCCCCAACTCGTTTGGGGACACCAACGGCACAGGTTTCCTGCGTGTTGGAAGGCGCAGGGCGTGTGCTCAGAGGGAGGCAGCCTGAGGCGGCCAGTCACAGTGCTTGGCCCCTTACTGGCAAGCCTGTGACCCCTCCAGCCCCGGGGTCCTGGCGACACCTGCAAGTGGAGAGAGTAACATCTCCTTTGAAAACATTGAAAGTCACTCATCACTGTGATGTGGGTGAGCAACAACATTCGGTGCTGTTCCAAGGCGGCCCAGAGCTCCAGCGACAAACCCAGATGGGAAGTCATTCAGAACATATTCAAAACTTGCAGGTATGCAGGCTCAAGCGCCCCAAAATCTGACTTTGGTTGTCAATGTCCCATGGATTTCCCTTTGAGAAACGATGTTGAAGACAGTGGACAAGGTCCCTGGGGACCCGCAGGCAGTCATGTGACCACCCCCACATGGCTCTGAGTCCATGGGAAGCACTTGGGGGGGTCAGCACTCTGTGCGGCCTGGTGCCTTGTTTGGCCGAGCAGTGGTCTCAGGACTGGCCACACAGACCTGTCTCCTTCTGAACGCACACACTCCAGGCTCCAGGGCCCTCATTTCTCCATCTACCCCAATTTCTTCACTTCCGCTCCTTCTACGTAACAGAACTGCTTAAGTTCACCAATAGAAAATTTTTAAAAAACCCTAGAAGCTGTCAGCAATTCCCAACTGCACCCCCACCCCTGCCCACATCATCCACTTAAGGACACTTCCCACTCCCAGGGCCCTGACCTGGGGGTGGGGCCGAGCTTCCGGGGACAATGGCCAGTATCCCTGCTCTGTGATGTCTCAGGTCCCACTGAGGGCCACCCACAGCTGTGGATGCCTCAACAGACAAGCCCTGGGGACCCCAGAGCTGGGACAGTGGGTGTTCAGCCTGCTCCCGCATGGGGAACACAGGGGCACCTCCGGCTTCGGCGAGGTCTGCCCGCAGGGACGCGGGCCCCCTCCCTGTCCTCTGCAGCCACAGACTCCTGAGTGGGGAGCGAGGACCTTCTGGGCAGGGCAGGCAGGCCTGCGTGACAGTGGCCCCCACCCAGTGGGCTGCCTGCTTGCAGGAACCTCCTGTGCCCAAGCTGACCCTTGTCTGAGTCCCCGATCCTCGGAGCCCACTGACTTTCCTGGGAAATGAGGGTGACGCCGTGGGAGCCACCCCTTCGGGGGCATGTGGCAGTACCAGCTTAGGGTCCAGAACAGGGCTCAGAAAAGCACACCTGATGGCAGTCGCCCTGTTTTTAGCCCGAGTGCCCAAACCCCTGGGAGTGGGTGGGGAGGGAGGGTCCACGCAGTGACAGACCGATTCTGATCTGGGACAGGTCTCAGCAGCCCTGGGCCCGGGGTCCCTTTGATTAGGGAACTTCTCTGCCAGAACCACACGTTCTCTGCTTTCTCTCCGGGACCAGGCGGGTGAGCAGCGCAGCGCAAGACCACGCGGTGTGTGTGCTGGGCCCACGGGCATGAAACCAGTCATTCTCAAACATTAGGCAGGAGAATAAGGAACAAGAAGTCCCAGGGCAGCTTCCCTCCAGTCTGAGGATTGCAAGTGTGCGCCACACTGCACAGGACACATCTTAGATCGCCGTTCGGCACATCCCTGGACCTTCAGGGGTGGGTGGGGGACATGCCCAGGGATTCCCCAGCCCCTGCGCCCCCAGGGGCTGGGAAGACTGACTGGCCATCCAAGGGAAGGTGCATACGGTGCCCTCTGGCCAGCGTGCTGCAGGATGTGGTGCAGCCGCCCCTCCCGCCCTCACCCCACCGCTGTCCCCGGGCCCACGGCTCTGCCTGCAGGGGGTGGCATTTCTCCACATCCCTCTTGCTCCACAGTGATGCTCATAGCACTCCCTCACCTTTCTCAGCCTGGCGGCCCCTGTGCCAGAGCGAATGGCGTCCATCAAGGCCTGCCTGGCGTCCATGGGGTTGCTGAGGGGGCTGGAGCTTGACCTGGCTGCTGTCCTGGATGTGGGGGGAGCCGGGGCAGCCGGAGGAGATGGGGGTGGCAGTGCAGGCGGGGACTGGCTGGCGAGGTCCTCCAGCCCCGGGGCTTCCATCCTGCGTGCAGAGCTTGCGGCCTCACGGAAGCTCCGGAGCTCCTCAGAGGCACAAGATGCCACCTGGCAAAGACACGGTTAAGTGACCACGTCCTGAGGGTCCCCTCCAAGGGCAGCACATGGCCCTGCCCCGAGCCAGGCCGGGAGGCGCGTCTCCTTCCTGCCCCGGAGCCGCCTTCATGGCCAGTGACTGAGGGCAAGCAGCAGCGTGGCAGTCCTGTCCTGTCCCACTGTGACCTCCCGATTCCCTGCTGCCTGGGCAGCATGTGACGGGCCCAAGGCCACACCCCAACCTCTCAGATAGTCTGGGAGGACCCACACCCCTCCTCAGTGTGCAGTGTGTCCACCACACTCTTCCTGGAACCCAGGCTGCTCTATGCCCCGAAGCCACACTGGGACCCCCTCCAGGGACTTGGAAGATGCTGGGGGCCAGGTGGGCAAGGGAGGGAGCCTTCCTGGGCACCCTCACCCCTGTGCAGTGACCTCCCATCTGAGCCAGTCTGGGTGGCAGCAGCGTGCAGGCCACCAGGTGATGGCTACCCATCATCTGGGAAGACCCAGTGCTGCCCAGCACACCTGGCCGGCAGCCCCTCGCCTCACCTTGCGCAGGCTGCAGGCGCCGCGGTGCCCCCGGATGGCGGCCAGCAGGGCCGAGTGCTCGCTCTCCGCCTCCACATAGGACAGCTTTTTGGGCCCTCCCTCTGTGCTGGGCTCTGCAGTCTAGAACAGGAAGGGTCAACACGTGTCACTCAGACGATGGGGCACGCACACTGGGAGGCAGCAGGAAAGGAAACTGAGGCCTGGCACTCACGGCCAGTGGACCCGCCGCGCCGGCCCTGCCTGCAAGAACGCCAGGCCTTTGCCAGGCACCTGTCTGACCATGATGTGGTGTTGACCTTGGACGGAATAACAGCTGCCATGCATCTGTGGTGACGTCAGAGTCTGGCCTGTGATGTCGGGCCCCTCCTGTGACTGGTCCTGGCTTTGCAGAGCTGATAACGTATTGTTAAGTCCTGCGTACTTGGGAGGGGTCCTGGGTCCCCATAGCTGGCAGTGTGGCCTTCACCAGGTTGCTGGGCCTCGCCAGGGCTCCATTTCCTCATCTAGAAACTGGAGGAGCCACGGCTGGGACGGCCCAGTACATTGAGTGCCAGCCTGAGAACCAAAGGGTCACCAGTTCGATTCCCAGTCAGGGCACAGGCCTGGGTTGTGGGCCAGGTCCCCAGTAGGGGGCGTGTGAGAGGCAGCCACACATTGATGTTTCTCTCCCTCTCTTTCTCTATTCCCCTCTTGCTATAAACAAATAAATAACAAAAAAGAAGTCAGAGGAAATAGCTCCCCAGCTTCCCCAGCCCGGCACCCTGTAAAGTGCCCAAGGAGAGTGACCCTCCTGATGTAATGCCACTCCTCTGATTTCGGAGAGACTGTTTTATTTGGCGTAACAGTGAGGTTCGGCTGCATTTGTGACAGGTTAAGATGCCCGTCGCTGTTGAAGAACGTCGGGCCGGAGGGGCCTGGGTCGACTGTCCACAGACTCCCCTCCGCCCTGCCTCCTGCTCCCTGGACTGTTCCCGGTGCCCTGCTCCCCAGGAAGGGAGCCCCCAAGGCTGGCACACTGTCCACCCCGCCCGCTGCCTGTCTCCGCAGGCTCGGCTCGGCCCCTCCCTGTGCCATGAGAGAGAAGCCTGGCCCCACCTACACCTGCCCGCCCCTCGTTTGTGCCCTCCCTGTCTTCCCCCAGGGCCCCCAAGCTGACAGGTGTGGATGGTGGGCCCCGCCCGCCCTGCCCGCTCACCTTGCGCAGCCTGTCCTTGCCTCCGGCCGCGTGGATGGCCTCCATCAGGGCGCTGTGCAGGGACGTGTCCTTGGGGGCTGGCCTCTGCACAACGGGTCTGAACTTCTTCTTTGGCCCAAAGATGCTGGGGGGCGGTGTGCTGTCGGGGTCCTGAATATCCGTACACGGCACATCGAGCTTCTCCTCCCCCCTCGGGAGGACGGTGTAGTGGTCCGAGCCAGCTGTCCTGGGAGCTCCAGGAGGCTCGCTGTGGCTGGGGCCCCACCCGGAGCCGTTCAGCAGGAGCCGGCCAGGAGCCGGAACATCTCCTGAGCCAGAAAGTGGGCGCTCGGTGCCGTCTGGTGTGTGTTTGGGGTCTGGCGCTGAGCTGGTCCTGTCGATGCCTGTGCCCTGCTTTCCGACAAAACCACAGCTCAGTCCCACAGAATCCTGGTCTCTCTGAGCCGCCGTGATGAGGGGGACACAGGTGCCTCCGTGGGTTCCAGCAGGACCGTCTTGTGGAGATGGTTTCCCGGGAGGGCTGCCCGCTAGCCCCCCTGCCGATGCTTCCCCGTTGGTGTTGGGCAGGTGGCCGCAGGGCGACTTTGCCTCCCCTTCACGTCTGTGTGGCTCTGGGCACGGGCTGTGGGGGGCGTCCTCTTCCGTAGCATGAGGCTGTCCTCTCGCCCCCAGCCCCCTGTCCCCCCAGGTCTTCTCCGCATCCTCACGCCTCCTCACCACACCGGCATGGGCTCGAGGGGGCCCCATCCGCTTGGCGATGGCCGAGGCCACGTACTGACTGGACGTCCTTCTCTGAGGCTTGAGAAACGGGACTTGGGTGGTGGGAGCTGCTGGCACTTTCATGGGACAAGTGGCTGTTGCGGGTGGTCGGCTGGGCCCCTCTGGCAGCAGCCTGCCATCACCCTGGTGGGCAGAGGGCTGCTGGGGCAACGCTGCCGGGGGGTCCGGAGAACTGGGCTCTGCTCTGCCTCTGCCGTCCGGATGCGGAGCCTTTGCTGGAGCCGTGGGGGTGGGGGGACCCCGGGCCGAGCTCCCCAGGGGCCGGGCAGAGCGCTTCTCCAGGGAGCCTGCCCGCCGGAGTTCTTTGGTGCCCCCCAGGGGCCGGGCATTTTTTTCAAGAGCAGGGGACGGCAGTGCCATGGTCCTGCCTCCATTCGCATGGGGACTCACCAGGTTCCCCAGCTCGTCGATCTTGATGGCGCCTGTGGAGAGCGACACTCCTCTGTCATAACATCTCCTCTCTGATTTTCGAGGGACAATTTTATACGTTGTGAGGCCGTATTTAAGTCCAAAACTCCCTCCCGGGTTCTGGCCTCGCTGACACCATGACGGTGGCACCGAGACGTCCTTCTCATCGTCACTGCCCTTCTCCTTCCGTGGTGGAGAGCTCACCGGCCCCCGGCCTTGCTCCTGCGCACTCCGGGCCTGCTGGTAGGGCTTGGAGGTCGCCCGGGGCTCTGCCGTCACAGGATTCGGGTCTTTGCAGGAGTCGGCTGAGGCTGATCGGACGTCCCTCCCGGTGTCTCGGGGAGGGGCAGCTCCGTCGGGCCCATCCGCCCTCTGCTTTTCACGCTGCTGCGGGGGCACCCCTGGGGCTGGGGGCAGGTGGGCCTCCCTGCCAGCTACACACCCCCTGTCGAAAGACCTGGCATTGTTGTTTCTGTTGGAGAACAGCCCCAGCTCCACGGGGTCATCTACTTCCCCGATGAACGTCACTGGGATGGTGTCCGGGTCCATGTCGGGGCCGATGGCGTCCTGCGTGCCACGACTGGACACGCCGTCGGTGGAGCCCGTGAGGGAGCTGCTGTCGGCCTCGTAGCTCTCTTCCAAGTCTACAAAGAAGCACGAACACGAGTCACAGACGTGCACCTACTTGGCCCATGCTGACAACCTGCGGCCACCACACCGTGACTTGGTTTCCCCGAGGGTCCTTCTAAGTGTTTTTTGCACGTTTCAAAGTGGCATTTCAGTCTATCATCTACATTGGCCTGGGCAGTGCGTCTCGGCCCTTATTACTCAACGAAGGGGCACCTGGCTGATTGGACATGTCTTAAGAGCAAGTGTCTGGGTCCATTTTGCTGATACCCTTTCCTTAAGAGTCCGTCTCTGAACCCACGCCTCTGAAATCACCGTCCAAGTGCAGAGCACGAGGGGGATGCTGAGACTGGCCTTGACCTTGCTCCTGCTCCTCACGGCCCCGCAAAGCATGAGGGCAATGGCCCTGGCTTTGGCGTCTCGCCAGGTGAATGACAGACCCCTGAGCACCGCAGAACTCGCCCTGAAGGATGCAATGTCACGGGGCAGAGCTCAGTGACATGGACATGCGGCTGATTCGGACAGATCGGCTCTGCCCGTCATGTCTCCTGAGGACAGAAAAGTGACAAGCACATTGGACAGCACAGATCTGTTTCCCCCTCATTTTTCATTCAGGCCCCCACCCCTAGTTCATTTTCACCTCGTGCCTTCGCCTGAAGATTTCCGAGTTGTTTGCTGGGATTATTCGCGTCAGCTTTGGCCTGGTGGTGCCACCCCCGACACCTCCCCAGGAGAGCAGTGACAGGACATGGCCCGTTACTGGCAAATACATTTCTTAACAAAGGAAGCTGTGTGTCTGGTCCCCCGCTGTCTCCTAAGTCCCCTGGGTCCTGGGAGCTTTCCCTTCTCACTATGTTTGCCGCTTGGTGTGCAAACTCAGGGTTGCTTAGAGCAGGTGTGAGGCAACCGTGGGGCCGCCCCCTCCCCGGGAGGGCCGGCTGCAGAGCTCCCCTCCCACACGCCACTGCCCCCACCTGGTCCAGGCCGCCTTCCGGCCGAGCCGCTCTCGCTCCTGGAGGCCGCCCCTCGTGGCGTCACTGCACAGAACGTGGTCAGGAAAACCTGCACCAGGGTGCCCCTTACCTTCCAGGTCCTCGTCCAGGTCTGCCCGCCTCTGCTCCAACCGCGCGGCGACCAGCAGGTCTCTGTCGTCATTGGAGGCCGCAGCAGCATTCTCAGTTCTAGAGACGATGAGAGAGAAAGCAAGGGCATGTGTGCCCTTATCACACATGTACTGCACGCCTTTCTAGAAACCCCTGAGGGAGGGGCAACTCCTGTTCAAATTCACACTGCTCTGTGCTCCCCGGACCACTGGGGTCCTCAGAGCTGCTGAGACACAGATGGCGTGTGGTTCACGTGGGGCGAGTGTGTGTGGTGTGTGTATGTGAGGGGTGTGTGCACGTGTGTACGGAGTGTGTATGTGTGTACATGGCCCCGCAGGATGAGCAGCTCGCACGCCATCCTGGCTCCCTGCACTCGCAGTCCCGAGTCTACGCCGCCTGCCACACCACCACAGACAGGCTGACTCACCCACGGGACTCGCTTGTTTCTCTGTGCTGTCATCGCGGTGCCTTGCCCTACCTCAATGAGGTCCTCCGGGGACCAAGTGTGCAAAGGCACATCATGGTGGCCAGGCACACGCACACACTCGCCCCGCACAGCCAGCCTGTCCCTAAGCCCACGGAGGCTCCCTCAGGTCCCCGAGCCTCCAGGGGCGGGGGCTGCAGGCTCTGGCCTGAGGCAAGGCTCATGGCCTCCATGGGTGCTCACCCTGGCAGGGTGACATATGGCCCAATATGTCCCTTTCCACGTTTTTACTTTGGCTTAATTTGCACCCTGGACAGGTGACAGAGGGGACGAGGGCTTGGAGGGCCAGAGTATGCCACCCACAAAGCCATGCTTCTGGAATTCTGGAACAGGAAATATAAAAATGATCATAATGACAACAAAGTTATGACAGTGGTGACCGTAATAACCACGCCCACTCGTGCCCCACCAAGGGCCTCCTCCCAGACCTGACGGGAGGTGGCACCTGCCATCGCATGTCCCAGCATCCCTGAGTCCAGAGCAGCCTCCCTGGGTGGGCTCCTGTCTGAGCTATTTTGCACCGATTCTCACCAGCAGTTTGTACGGCAGAGTGTCCTGTTACTGCCTCTGTACGAACAGAAGACAGAGTCGAGAGACTAGCAGACCTGCCTGAGGTTGAACGGCTCTTACGTCCAGGGGAGGACCAGCCAGGTCTGGTGACCAGGGGACAACCTGGGCCTGGCCACCTGGGCGGGAGGGTTGGCCTTGCCTCGTGTGCTAACTGGGACAGCAGCACCCACGAGGCAGTGGCTAGGATAGCAAGTAGAAGACGGTCCTGGCAGGGACACATGTCTCTAGGTTCCTGCTACACGAAGAACGGAGACATGTACATGGCAAGTGTCAGTATCAGGGGAGGGTGACAGTCTTCCCTGCTGCTGGTTAAAACCGAGGATGGTGTCTGGCACTGCCCACCAGACCCCGATCGTAGCAGACTCAGGAAAAGCACTCTGCACAGCCCTCACGTAGCAGTTTGTCTTCTGATAAATGAGCCTTTCTTTCTTGGTCGTGGGGCCCTTTGGGGAGCCAGGAAGTGGCTTCCAGATTTCTCTCCGCTAATGTCCTCTGACAAGCCAGACAAAGGGGCTGGGTGGAGACGTGTGTGCATGCAGAGCCATTAATAAGGGCCCTTGGAGGCACGGACTGTCTGTCCATGGCTTCTGCCTTGGACTTTATCTCAATGCCTTTCACTAAAGCCGTGTTTTTCTCTTTCATAAGATGGGATGGCCTCAACACATTGAATTCGAATATTTAACCATGCACACGGCATAGGAAACACGGGCAGCGCTGTGTAAGACGGCATTTGAACCGGGGAAACGGCGCATATTTGACATGCCTGCTCTTCGTGTTGCGTGTTGAAAGCCCACTAAACAAGCCCACACCCATATTCTTACTTCAAAGTATCTGCCTTTACTTCAAACTATGCAAAGTCACCTCACTTGATGAGAACAGAATGATAAGAATGGAAATAAAAACGACCTTAAACACTCCGCTGATGGCGCTCTCATTTGACGTACATGGAGCTGGAGGGGACGAGGCATTGAGAGCCAACAAAAGGACAGCTCCCGGGTTTAACAGGAGCAACATGGAGACGTCCCTCACAAAAGAAAAACGTCGCTTCCACTCTTCCACTCTGTGAGAATGTCAGCCCATGAGTCTGTTCTGATCGTTTACCTTAAGAAAAGAACCTATAGGGTAATACATAAACCTAATACCATTCATCATATTCATGGGAAGATCTCCAATCAGGAAACGGTGGGGAGTGAGCGGACCCCCGGGGCATCGACGCCCCAGGGCGTGGACACCGGTCGGCACGTGGACCACCACGTCTGTGTAGAAATACAGATCCACGTTTGGTGAAGAAATCGAGACGTACATAGCTGACCCTGAATGACATGGGTTTTAAAGTGCATGGCTCTAGTTTGATGCTGGCTTTTATCAGTCAGTATCCATACAGCCGGCTTGTCGTGTTCTCAGGTCTTGTGTCTGTTGCTTCTGCCACCCAAGAATGAAAGGCAACATTTCCAATTTGCAGTGGGGAGTCCTCGGATACATGGGGCCAACTGTATGAACTGCTCCACACTGTCTGAGTTAGAAACTTCAGGGTCTTTGGATTTTGGTATCTGTGGGGGTGGGGTGCATGCTGTAGCAGCTTCCTCACAGACACCGAGAGGCAGTCTCCTGTTTGGAGGGTCAAACGTTGCACTCAGATTTTCAACTGCACGGGCTTGATGCCCCCAACCCTCCTGTACATTGTTCAGGGGTCACAGGTGTGTTACACACAATGACTGAGGATGCGAGAGCAGCACACGTGGGGGTGGGCACGGGGGTGGGCAGCAATCTGGGCACCCACTGCCCTGAGGGCTCTGTAGAAATTGATGAATTATAGCCAATATTTTATCCTCTTTTTAGAATCCTGCTTCTTACAAAGCAGCTTGAGGGATAAAACCACCTTTTAAATGGGAAACATTTAAAATAATCCTTTGGTCCTCTAACGAACAGCAATTCTTTTTTGCAAAGAGTGCCCAGGCTGGGAGGGGGGGAGCGAGGGAGGGAGGAGGGTTGGCCTGGGCTGGCGTTTCCCGGGGCCACGGAGCCTGCTGCCCCGGGCGGAGAGGGCACTTGGCTACTGCAGCTGGCTCTTCCCGAGGCCACCGTGGGCCACGTGCTCTGGGCCCTGGACTTCGGCATGAATGGATTGTCTGGCAGATCCAAAGCCACTGGCAACATCTCTGTATGCTTTGTAATATAAAATCTCAGAAGGGAGAGATTTAGTGATATTTGTTTCTTCTTCCTCGTTCACCTCCATCGGCTTCCCCCAAGGGTTACGAGTAGCCCCCCCGCCTCAAAGCCAAAGGGAAGCACGCCGCCCCTGGGCCATGGGGCGGCATGCTGTGGACAAGCAGCAGGGCTGAGTTCAAGGCCCTGAGGGGTGGGGGAACTGGCGAGAAGTACCAGCGTCTTCTCATCGGGAAGCGTCCACACCGAGGCCCTCCAGGCACCGCTCCCCAGCCGGGCTTGCCCCCCCAGTCCTCAGATATGGCTCCCGTGACAGTTTGCTTTGGCTTCAGGCCAAGAAAATAAAGGACAAACACGGCCCAGACATTTCGATTCCGGGCTGCACATGTTGAACAAACATTGCCAGCAGCATTTTTTCACACGGGGTGTGACCCTGCAGAGAACAGGGTGACGCTCAGGACACCGCTGCATGGACTACGAGGGACAAAGGGCGACCCTGGTGAGTTTCAAACCACAGTCTGCCCAGACACTGGAATTGTCTGCTCCCCTTGGGGCAGGCGGCAGGGCACAGAGGACAGGGCGGGGGGCCCAGGGCTGCAGACCTGATGGTCTCGGCACTCACGTGCGCCAGGGGCAGCTGGTCAAGTTCAAAAGCAGGAAAAACAGGTGCTTTTCGGTTTGGTTCGGTTTCATTGCATATAAGAAGGGGGCGGGGTGGGGAGGAGCCTGGGTTAATTTTGACCCATTCGGTCATTATCCTGTTTGATGTGGCTAGAAGAATTTCTTTAAGTAATTTATCCAATGGCAAAATCATGGGAGAAAAAAAGAATTGGGAGAGAAAAAGATGTCCCTTTCAGGTGGCAACACGACTTGCAATGACGACAACAAAACCAACACATAGGATTTCCAAACAATTACTTGATAAACTGCAGGCAAGAAGCCTGGGAGGAGACACAGCTGATAGCAGCCCTGTCATTTAACTGCCCCTCCCATCAACAAAAGGCCCTGTGGTGACAGAGCCCCAGAGTCCCAGAACTACGTGCCAGGAGGGGTGCCATGTGAGCCGCCAGTGCGACCTTAGAACTTCCTGTAGTCCCGCCGACCGAGGTAGGAAGTCGGTGAGATCGATTTCAGTGACATTCCTTATTTAACTTCAATTAACTCAGTACCTTATTTAACTCAATTTTAACCCAAATTATTTTCACCATTTCTACATGTAATTACTATAAAATTGCTTTTTTCCTCAGGCCAAATTTGGAGCATGGCTCACACTCACAGCACATCTTACTTTGGGCAGGACCACGTGACAGGTGCTCACAGCCGAGATGAGGCTGGTGGTTACGGTCCTGCAGTTTAATTCTCCTGGGTCTTTGTAGATGTAGTTACAAAGTTTCAGGGTCTTCGAAGGTGTTAAAATGTTTGTGAACGTTCCCATGGGTCCACAGTCCCTACAGTTCCAAAGCTGCAGGGCTCTGGAGGCTACGACATGTTTCTGAAGGTTCCTGAGGTCAGCGCTCCTATGGGTACAAGTGGCCAGGGCTCAGCTATCACTTGAAACCATAACCCCGAAGGCCATAGCAGTTCCTCACTTCTCCAGCCATCATGTCCACTGCTCCCTGACAAGTGGGGCCGAGAAGGAACTTCAGGGGTGTCCAGGGAACGGAGAAGGCAGCAGGCAATTCAGGGAGGTGCCTGCCACTGGAAGAAGCTCTACCTATTGTCCTCTGTGGCTCTGCATGACTTCTCTGAGCCCCTGCTGCTCCACATGGGGCCCGAAGCCCACTGACCCCATTTCCCTCATCCCCCCGTGTTGCACCCCTACAAGGGAGCCCGCCAAGGCCACCATCGGTGCAGCAGCAGCCCTGATGGAGGGAGCGCCCTCTGCAGCACCCGTATGGGACAGGAGCCGGTGTTTCGCCCCTGGACTGGAGAGGTTAAGGAGGACACTTTCAGCTGAGCAGGAAGGAGCTACGGAGGAAATAGTGCTGGCCTCAAATTTGTCAACCTGCCACCCCAGGCCACCCTAGACAAAGAAGTCTGTAGGACTGTGCCACCTGCAGGGTGCAGAGGAAGCAGAAACACCCAAATACATGGGCACTTCACCATGTAGACCTTATCAACATGGGTCTTCTCAGGCCACAGAGGGTCTTACCTGTCCCCAACAGTACTCAGTGGATTCCTGAGGAGCAGGAAGGTGTTGATAGATAGTGTTGGGCACCTGGGCAGTGTGGCAGACCACAGACACCCCTTAGTCTGTTGGGACTGGCTGCACAGTGCAGTTCTGTAAGCTGAGGGGACTGAGACTGCTGAGGACAGCTTCGCCAGAATCCACTCCCCCAGAGAGGCCCAGCCTCACCAGTCATGGCAAATGAGACTAAGACCTGGCATCAGCAAAGGATGGAGAGGTGGCATGGTCACAGCTAGGCTCGGCCTTGTCACCGCGGGAAGGCCATGTCATCTGGGGTACAAACAGCCACATGAGGATTAGCTGCAGAAACCAGGCAAGAGAACCCGCAGGGCAGAGCCAGGAGGCTGCAGAAGGGACCAGAGGCCGGCACCAATACAGGGGCCTGTCCCTCTCGAGTGGCCTTGGTGCACACACTTCAGAGGCACATGAAGAGAGCCCAGCCCGCCCTGCCCTGGGCGTGCAGGTGTCAGGGAACACACTCTTTGTCACCATCTCTCTCTCGTTCTGCCACTGTTGCCTGAACACAGTACTCTTATGCAGTGTTCTAACGGCGTCTCCTGTCCCTGGGTCAGAGCCTCACTCTGTGGCAGGGGCGGCTTCTGCTCTCACACAATGTGTAAGCCTGATTCTGGGCTGCCAGGGCCCCCAGCACTGGACTTGAGCACTGACCAGTCTGGAAACCTGGAACTGGCCTGCTTGATCGGGGCCCACCCGGGCTTTGCCGGCTCACTCTCCAGCCCAGCACTGGACAGCTCCGGCCCCTCTGCTGCAGAATGTGTAAGGGATTTCACTCTCTTACCACGAGGAGGAGGCAATGGCCGCCCGCGTTCACTTAGGAAGAGATATTTTGCAGAGCCATGTCCCGGGGGCGCCCAAGTCACAGTGATGATACTCTGCAGCTGGAAAACGGGGGGATGGAGGAAGGGCCCAGCATCTTCTCACAGCTGCAGCTCACACACCCAGGACAGGACACGTCCAGTGCGCAGATGCACTTCATTTGGGCCTGAATGTTTGCTTGGTTGCCAACCTTTACAGTTTAGGAGACCCCACATAACGGAGATCTCTGGCTTCTCCGGGTCTGTGATCCCTCGGGGCACCAAGGGCTGGGAGGCGGGAGGGGTGGGCTCCTTGGAGGGAGCGTGCACTTTGCAGCTGTCCCAGCGCCTCCCTCTGAGGGCGCACCCCCGACGTCACACTATGGGCTCTGCCTTTAAGGCATCCTGAGCTTCCCTGAAAATCATGCACTTGGACACACCTGCCTGATACACCGGGGTGAAGCTCTGAGTTGCTCGAGTTTGTCAGTAGAGCAACTCCTGTGAAAATAAACTGCGATCACTCCAGGAGAAATCAGGGCAGAGAGGGGGCCCCAACTCTGGGTCAGAGAAGAGCATGGGTGAGGCTGGGAGCTCAGACCACTGTCCCCTTTGGACAGCTGAGCTGACCCCATGATGGAAAGCGACCTGCTGTAGAAGTTCACGGTGCTCCCTTTCCTAGCGAATGGCAGTGAGAGTGACAATGGAGCCCCGTGCATGGGGGTGGGGGACTCACAGGCTCACCCCACCTCCAACAGGTGGGCAGCATGAGTACTTATAAGCAAAACGCACGGCTCGGCAAAGTCAGGTGGGCTCTCAAGGGCCAGACAAGTAGTCAGTGGTGGTGGGATTCCACTGTCCCTCCGGAGCCCCTCCACACCCCTGGGCACCTAGGATGAACTGTGCCCTGCCCCCTGTGTGGATGAAGCAAGGGCTGCCAAAGGCTCCATCATTGTCCTGGCTGAGACCACAGGCAGCACGAACCATTCTGGTTCTGCGTGTGAGAGTTTACACTCCCCTGTCCCCCCAAGCACAGCTACGAATGTCTGCTTAGTTTCAGATGTGGGGCTCGGTGTGGGCGGTCCCCACGCAAACCCACAGGTAGGACCTGGGGTTACAGAGAAAGTGGTTTTTCTTCACATTCAGTGGCCTGAGAAGGAAACGCTGCCGTTTTTCTCTGCTCTCACAGAGGCGAGCGGCGCAGGCTGACCTCAGCCACGTGCATCTCCTGCGGGGTGGACAGAAACCCCGCGGCCACCTCCTTACCTCCTGCCTGATGAAACATGAACTTGTCCTTGGAGTTGCCGTGAAGACGGAAGAGCTAGAGACCAAAACTATTAGAATGTAAAAAACAAGCAAACAGAAAACTAGGGGAATGCCCATGATACACCGTTAGGTAAAAATGAATCAAAATAAAATATTATTGCTGGTAAAATTACATTAACCAGATGAACATTCTCATTCACCTGGACAAAGTCGCAGCAAAATAGTAAAAGGACAAAACCATTCATGTCGGTGAGTGACTTATGAACTACCTTTTATTATTCTATTTTATTTCCACTAATGCTTTTATGGCATTATGTGATTGGTTCTTAAAATTATCTAAAAGGTTAAAAAAGCTCATGGGCTACAGAGAATGAAACTGCTTTTTTTCTAAAAGAGTAAAAAAAAAAAGAATTGTGACAGAGATGGCTGCATGAGCGGGAACAATGGAAAAGGGCGCTGGGGGCAGACGGTGGGGCATCTGGAAACTTCACACGTGACCACAGTGGGACCAGGAATCAGTGGGAGAAAATAGATTTTTTTTCACATCACACCCCAAAATAAACCACAGGTAGACCAGAAGCCCAAATGTGAGAAAGCGGTATTAAACTTTTACAAGAAATTTAGACAATTTTTAGTCTTTTAGGGCAGGGGACCCCAACCCCTGGGCGAGGGACTGGTACTGGCCCATGGCCTGTTAGGGACCAGGCCACACAGCAGGAGGTGGGTGGCGGGTGTGTGAGCCAGCAAATCAGCACCCGCATCACCACCTAGGCTCCGCCTCCTGCCTCCACACCGCCTCCCCGCCCCCCCCCCCCATCCATGGAAAAAGTGTATTCCACAAACTGGTCCCTGGTGCCCAGAAGGTTGGGGACTGCTGCTTTAGGGCATGAGAAGGGTCTCTTAAATATATGGAGAACATATACATATTCAGGAGAACACAGATGAGTTTAACAACACTGAAATTAAACAGCAGTTTTTACACAACCACCAAAAAGTTAAATCAAGCCAGAGTGGTACAGACTCTCCGTGTGTAATGACTGACAAAGGAGGGAGGAAGGATTGTTTTTAGAGTAACACCGCACTTTTCTAGAAAGGTCAAAGTCTATGCAGAGGCAACGCACAGGAGAGGGAAACCCAAACTGTCACCACTGGTGTGACAAGCTGCCCTTACTCACCAACCAGGGCACGTAAACCAAAGCCCCAGGAAATGCCTTTTGCCTGCCATCCCATGGGGGGGTGCATGTGTGAAGCGACCCCTGCTGGGCAGGCAAACCCGACAGTCCTTCTGGGGAGCAAGTCATCAATGATGTGCAATCATTGAGAAAGTCAAGACCGTGTTCGTCTGAGAGCCTTAGTCATTTCTCTGCTAGAACACACTCCCGGCATGTAAGCAGAAATATGTGCACAACTGGCTTCCAGCGGTGGAAACCCAAACGTGCCACGTGCCCATTCCTTAAAAAATAAAATAAGTAAAGGCACGAAGGACACAGACATGACCTTGGAGAAGTCTAGAAAGCAGGAAGTTGAGTGGACAAGCACCCCACGTGAAGGGCCCCGGTATCAACAGTTGCACACACACACGGACACACAAGTTGCCACCCTATTCATCTGTGCCTGTGCACCTGGAAAGAGCAGGCAGAAGTCACTGTGGGAAACAAGCCCTGGTCCCCGGGACAAGCGTCCCCTCTCCTGGAGACCTGGATGGGGCCTCCCTTCCCCAGCTGTCCCGTCACTCACCTCGAATGCCAGGGCCTAGAGCCGTTTCTCTCCCACGCGGGGCTCTTTGAGGCGCCCAGTTCGGGGGCTCCAGCCAGGTCCTGGTCACTGCAGTCCTCCTGGTCAGTGGCCCACTTCTCTCTGGACTTGGTGCTGTCGTGCTGGGAGTCCAGAGAGATGATGTCGGAAGGGGAGCTCACCACACCTGAGTCCTCTGTCGTGTCCTCCGAGGCAAAGCAGCTGCCAACGGACACCGTCTCCTCGGCGTCTGGGGTTGCCGGCAGGACCCTGTCCACGCCGCTGGGCCCCAGGGGGAGGCTCACTGCACAGAACACGGCAAGGACACGTCAGCCGGCACCTGTGCTCCCGCGCTGCCCGGCCCACCTGCACTCTGGGTTTGGGGTGCTAGCAATGTAGGGATTCACACACACGGCTTCCTCCAGGAACACTTCAACCTAGGGGGCCCTGGGCCTATGTGTGGCTGAGAGAAAACAGCACCTCGAACATCAGCACCCTTTGAGTCGGCTTTCGGTCCCGAGTGGACAGTGGGCGCACATTTAACAGCGCAGGCCGATGCCATGGTGAAGGCATGGGTTTTCAGACCGACCCTCAGTTTCATGGGAGTTGTTTTAAAATGAGTTCTTTTCTTTAAAACGTAGGGTTTAAAAAAAATCTTAACAGATTTAGACACAGATAATACTATTTGGCAGCTTGCGACAAACAGTCCACAGGGACTTGAACTCTGTCCTGAAATAGTGATGGCACAGCCCCGTCGACACCTGTTGTCCCTCCGTGTTTCCACGCGAGACGGTAAGTTTTGGTCTAGAGAAGAGATGGGCTTGGGAAGGAGCTCTGCGCGGAGTTAAAAAGAACCAGGACAACCGTGCCCCGAGCACCGCGGGACCCCCGCTGTGGAAGGGCTGGCGTGCACTGAGCCGTATCTCACTATCAACCCCTCCCGTCCCACAGTGACAGGGATGAGGGGGACGCAGCGGCCAGGCAGCACCTCTCCCAGGCCATCGGAAAATATGTTCAGTCCAGGGAGGTTATTATTTTCTTTCTGACCAAGCTTCCGGGGTTTGTAAAATCTGTGGGAGGAGCAGGAACTCTTCCTGATGCCGAAGCTGCAAAACCGCTGTGCACAACGAGGGTCCAGCTCTGCACCTGAGTTGCTCGTTGTTAATGTCACTCAGAAATAGGTTTTAAATGCTGACACCTCAAGACACATGATGGGAGCAAGCGCTGTGTGGGGTGGTCCCGGAAACAGGGGCCGTGCTATGCTGTGGCCTCACCGCGCTTTGCTACAGGACCCCCCACCTCCCCAGTAAGTGACTGAATGCCTACGGTGACCGAGGGCCACGGCATGCCCGGCCCACACCCCACGCAACCGGGCACCGGGAGTCCAGGGACAGCGGTCCAGTGGCAGCCCCGTCATACTCAACACTGCCATCACCCTACCAGGGCAGTGGACTGGCAACCCAGAATTAACAGAAAAATAAAAAATAAAAAGTCCCTGTCGGTGCTGGGGCATCTGCGATCCCAAACAATGACATAAAGCAGAGGACAGAAGTTGCACAGACAGACACCGCGCGGAAGCACCCGAAGAAAGCCAGCACACAAAGGAGGGCTGTTCCGAGAGGCCCGGATGCTCAGGGCGACGTGTCCGGCCCAGTGGCTGCCTCCCAACAATGCCCCTTTCTCCCGGCGCCCTTCCTGGCTTTTGTTGCGGGGCCTTAATTAGAGGGCAAAGAAACGCTGCCCAGGGATTAACACGAGCGGCCCCTTCCTGACAGCGGTTCCCTGAGAAGCTCACACCTCAGAGGGTGGCTGGCTGCTCCGGCCACGCAGCCTGTGGCTCCGCCTCGAGATGTCACCCTGCGGGCTCTGCTCCGAGCTGCTCCCTGCCTTGCCCCGCTGACAGCTGCCGCCCCGATGGCCGTGGGGACCCCAGTCTCCTGGCCTCCCTCCATCACTGTCTCTGAACAAGTAGGGCTATTACAGGAGCACTTCTTCTTTCAGGTAGTGAGGACCAGCATCAGGTCACAGGGACCTGGCCTTCTGGACCTGCAGAGCAGGGGACAGCTGCCTGGGGTGGGTGCCTGGACCCTCTGTCCCAGGCTCGTCCAGGAGAGGGGGTGGCACCCAGCCCGCAGACTCGGCAAAGTGGAACACGATTCCAACGCACCACGTAGGGAAGGGCTCCGAGACTGAACTGGGGACACGGGTCCCAGAGCCGTGGCTGTCTGGTGACTCACAGTTCATGAGGGGACAGACAGACACACAAAGATGGACTGTCTGTGGCCTACAGAAATGCCCCTCTGGGTGCGCTTGCACAGGTAGGGGGGTAGCTGGTCATTCAGTGGGCACATGTTAAACTGTGTGCACAATGAATGGAGTGATTACCAGAGGCCCCTCCTGCCCCAGTGAGCTCTCCCTTTCTCAAGGGTAACCCCCCCGAGGGCTGGGGGATGCCACCCTTGAGCCCACCCAGTAGGTGCTTAGGGAGGGCCCACCCAGGCACCTGGGCTGGGCTGGGGAACTGGTGCTGGGTGGGAGGGCGCCCGAGCGGAGTGAGGGCAGTCCCCAGGAACTGAAAGGACGAGTTGGAAAGGGAGCATGTGTGCATGAATTGGTTTGCCTTAGGGAGCAGGGACCCAGTGCGTTGACAATCAGCCATGGGCGGCGGGTGCACTGGGGGAAGGGTGGGAGGGAGGGAGAGAGGGGCGTGGAAGCCGGTGAGGATGGCAGCAGCACATCCAAGGCTCAGGACCCGTGCAAGCAGCATCTGAACGTGCTGGTGGGGTGGCCGGTGAAGGCAGAAGGGTCGGAAGGCAGGGGCGGGGCCCCGGGAGGTGCCCTTGTTAGTTAGTGTTTCTTCTGCCCTCGGCCCTGTCCATCTGAGTCTAGCTCGAAATCAGACGTCCCCCATCCCCCCGTGACCCCCACCCTGTCCCCTCATTATTGTTTCTCCTTCGGCCGGTCCCTATTGTTAACTCCAGGCACTGTGACATGTTTTGACAATTGCTGAATGAGACAATGGTGCAGGGGCCTGGTGCTGTCCTCTAGACCCTCCTGTGCCCCAGTTCCCACCCTCCGCCCTGAGGGCTCCCTTGAGGCCAGTGGAGCAGGGACCCCCACCCCAGGCCAGCAGGGGACAAGTAAGAGTCCGAATCCCACCCCCCAGGCCCCGTCCCCCTCTGAACTGCAGACAGGCCTTTCTCTTTTAGTGAAAGAAGCAAGGTGGCGCTGAAAAGCCCCAAACTCCCTTCGAGAGCTAGAATGCCACCGTCCTTCGAAATTCCCGATGGAACTGGGTGTCCACATTCTCTGGAGGACTGACTGGTGACTTCCTGTGACTCTGAAATGGGATACAGCACCACCTTTTCCGTCCTGCTATTTCTGTCTGCCCCGAAAGTGGGAGTCGTCACTTCTGAGCTAATTAATGTGCCAGCCCGTCGGCCTCTCTCCAGGTGTGAACAACCTTTTTGAACTAAAACATTATCGTTGTGTGATTTTTTGCAAATGTGACAAACACACTTAATTTGTCTTTAGCAGAAGTCTAACAGAAACTCATGATTAAATTCTTTTCCAAATGAACAGCCACAAAGCCCACTCAGGGATATCAACTCCACCAAGCTCCTCATCTAAAGTATATAATCCTGTGGTTCGATTGCCCTCATATCTATTCATAAATGAGAATCGGGGAGAATTCTCCAGATCAAAGGGAAAGACGGAGGTGCTAACTCACAGCTGCTAACCCTCAGAACTGAACTCACTCATCTTCAGTTCAGAACTACTCCCACTGAGTTTTCTCCTACAAAGTCACCAAAGAACAGCTCAAGGACTAAGCACCGATTTCTTCCAAGTACTTTGCAATGGACTCCCTTTTTTTTATGTTATTAAATGCAAACGACAGGCCTTATATCCTATGACATCACTTACTCGCGGGTCATTACAAAAGACCATTTCTCAAGAGGCAGTTCGGGCACATTGACACGGCCCAGAGAAACTGTGTCAAAGACAGAATCTTCCTCATCCCACGTGGGTGCCTACACCCCCCACCCCCCACTCACAGCCCACAAGGAGTGCTCATTGCCCCCCTCAGCCTGCCTGGATTCTGCCCCCCAGGTTCTAGGCCCTGGAAGGAAAGGGGGTGTTGAGGCACCTGCAGAACAGTGCCCCGAACGAGGACTCGAACAGACACGATGCACATCAGCCATACCCTGCACACACACCCCCGGGGCAATTCGGGACCACCACGCTTTCTACCACATTTTTAACTGGCATCTGGAAAGTTCCATCATGCATTCAATCAGTGGTGATAGAGGTAATTTCTATTGCATTGTAAATATAATTTTTAAATGGATCATTGTTTTTAAAACATGTACTAAAAGGAATCTGAATATGATAGTCTTTTGATGTCCGGAAGACTCCATGTAACAAGGAGTGAGTCTCCTCCACCCAGGCAGAGTTGGAGGTGTCGCTGTACTGGGTGACTGTTCTGGAGGGGGTGGGGCCGGTGCAGGGTGAGGCTTCAGGAGCCCCTCTGTTCCCAGCATCATGTCCGTTCTGCCCTGACTCGGGGCGCCAATCTTGGCTTCTTCCTCTCTGGTTCCTCAAAGTGAAGTTCACCTCGTCACACCGTTTGACAAGAGGACTCTTCAGTGGGGCGTGATTTAACCTTTTATATTAGCCTTCTGGCCCCAAAGGCCCACAGCCTCGGCCCCTCACAAACTGCAGGAGGGGGTCCCAGGGCAGCCCATTCCCTATGCAGCACTGCTCTGTGTGTGCGCATGTATAAATATATTTTTTTCAAGGCATGATAATAGAGAATTTCAAAGAGCATATGGATTTAAAGTAGACCTGGGTTCTCTTAAGAGCCAAGCATTGTATTTGTAATATCCACCAGCCGGTATTTCTCAAGAGCCTGAACCATAACTCGAATCCTAGAATCCTGACCTGCCAGTTAGTCTGGGCCGGGAGACTCTTACTCTGTTGTCAAACAGGGCCAGGTTCCAGCCGCTGTTCTTTTACAGACGTGTAGGAAGTGGCAGACACACCGTCCATCCCACATTCTCTGCCTCCACATCTGTGCTAAATGAATCCATCCTTTCAGCAGCCAACCTGATACGCAGCATCCCAGTCGCATGATGAGAGGAGCAGGCACTTTCGCACGTGTCCCTGGCTGTCTGCTTAGGACAGAATGCAGAGCCTCATGGCAGGCCCAGCTGAGGACACATCCACGGGGCCGGGGAGGGAGGTGCCTGCCGGGGAGAACGGCCCGTGGATGGGGTGGCTGACTTCCCTCAGCAGCTGCCATGC